ATTAATCAACTATTTTAAAAACAGATTAACTTTTTAATACATTTTGCAGTTACATCAAATGTATACATCACATATTGCATCTACTTTTCTACAGCCATAGCAAATGTGTAAAGGTCACACTTACTGTACTGTATATCACTATACGATGTTGTACTGTTTACTGTGAGGTACAGTTGCTGCATGCTCATGCATGTTTTACCTGTACATACTGGTAGCACAGCTCCTTCACTCTTTCACCATTTCTTTTGAATGGAACAGTGTACAAAATCTAGTAGTTACCACTTATGATACTAACTCAGCTAGACTGTTCCTTTGTCGTCATGATGTAAAAAAAACTGCAATAAAAAACTGCAACAAACTGCATGTAAAAATGCACTGTAACATTAATCTGAAGATAACATTTGGTTTCCACAGCCAGTACAACAGTTTTTTTCCTAAAATTAATTCTCTTTTTCATACCAAATTCCTTCCCTTTGTTTCCACAGATAGTGAGTGTTTATTGAGTTGCAGTAGAACGACAACAAAACACTATCTTGTATGAGAAAATACACTTAGAGGCTGGTTTGTAGGTTTTTACAAAGTTGTTAGTTTTTATCTCATGGCTGGTCTAAATAAGTTAATATAACTGCTTTAACTCATACTGTGCACATTGTGAAGCAGTGTAATAGGCTACACAATAAAAGCCATTTGTTGAAGACATTATGGAGTGTGATAATGTACAGAGAGAGGTATAGAAGGTTTAAACAAGAGCTTGAAAAGAGAATATGTCTGTTGCTGCTGAGTGCAGGGAGGGTGCTGTGGTTATAGGTTGAAAATGATAGCACTGCCACTGAAGAACCAAAAAAATTGTTTTGTTTTCACTGTAAATAACTGTTGTGCTGCCAGTTTCCAAAACATCTCGGACATTGGGATTCCCCTAAGGATCTCTTCATCTTCACAGCTGAGCAGTGTGAACCTTCTCTCACATCACAAGTGGTAGTTTCCCTTTTGAGTTATACAACAGACCGTCTATCACTGATTGAGCTATTTTACATTCATATTTCAGTAATTTCTATCAAATCCATGATGTCCAAATGCCACAATGGTTTCCTATAACCATCATCACATAACAGTAGAAAAGCAAGCACATTGCCCTACGTTCTATCTGACAGTGGTTTAAAACATTTCATTTGGTTTCTCTTATTTGGAACCACAGCACAGAATGAGAACTACAGTGCCAAGTGTCACGCTCATGTCTTTTCAGAGATGCAAAGCTGTATGTCTACTATGTAAATGTTATTTGTTTGGTTGCTGGTCAAAATTAAAATGAAAAGAAAATTAGATATTTGCCTTCTCTGGTGTTTGTTGTTTTGTTTTCTAAAAGTTTGTTATATTTTTAGTAATGCATTACCTTAGGGTCTCTGTTTTCTTTTGCTTTCAAATTTGATTTGTTGATTTGCCTTTTGAAATTCATGAGTATGTTCAGTTCTGTGAAATGTTTTCGTTGTTTAATCATTCATGACTGTCACTTTGAGGGCAGTGGTCAAGATATTAAAGTCAGGTATCGTTCTAACCCAGGTGTCTTTCATGCAGGGCTGGTCTGATCAGCTGTTTTAAACGACATATTAATTCTGACTACCCTGAGCTTAATGTGGACATATTCTTATATTGTGTTATTTGGAATCTCAGATTTCTTGTCTCTCCTACTTCTCACCCCTTTTTTTAACTTCACTCAGGAGGAATGGGCTCAGAGTGTCAACCTGGCAGAAGTGAAGTTTGAAAATATGGTGAGTTTAAATATTTTCATGTCACCATTCTTAATATCTTAGGGTTTTGTTGATAATCATTGATCTGAAAGATTATGTCTACCTCCAGTGGTTAGTGCTGTCGCCTCATAGCAAGAAGGTTCTAGGTCTGAGCTCCGGCTGCTCCAGGCCCTTTCTGTGTGGCGTTTGCATGTCCTCCCTGTGCCTGTGTGTGTTCTCTCTGGGTACTCCAGCTTCCTCCCATAGTTCAAAGGCATGCAGCTTAGGCTGACTGTTGACTCTAAATTGCCCGTGTGTGTGATTGTTTGTCTACATGTCAGCTCTGTGATAGACTGGTGACCTTTTCAGGGTGAACCCCACCTCTTGCCAAATGCTAGCTGGGTTTGGCTCCAGGCGACCCACCACGACCCTCTTCAGGATAAGCTTTATCAGATGGTGAGGTGTACTTGTAAATATAAAAAATACTTCTCTCTCACTCTTCTCTTGTAGGTGATTACTTTGGACTATGGCAGGGGAAATGAGAACCCTATCAATAGTATGCATTTCTACACCAAGCATAACCCTAATGATGCATTCAGGCTCACCGGAGACCAGGTCAGGGCTAAAGCAAAGACAACAAAATTATAATCTTAGTCTTTGTTTTGCATTGACTGTTTGTTTCTTGTGTGTACTTCTTTGTAAGGCAGCCTCTGTTACATCATTATTCACAACTGTGTGCTGTTGTCATTCATGTCAGATGTCCATGAGTCTCCCGCAATGCTTTTCTGAGCTGATCATCAGGGCTTACTGCAAGGAAACTGATGACGACAGCCTGAATGATGCAGCACATCAGTTTGAGGAGTTCAAAGACTGGCTTACAGCTGTATAGTAATATCTAGATATATTGTAAGCTGTTAAATGTTTTACAGCTTTTTATGTTCTCCCTGAGTTCACCATAGGACACCTACATTAGCATTTGACAGATGTACCACCCCAGTCAAAGTCCCCACCTGCCACTGTCCCCAGTGTCAGCTCTACGCTTCCTGTCTGTGTTCTGTTAGTCATGATGTACAGGATGAACTCAGCATGTACTCACAATACATTCTGGTGGAAAAATACTAAACATGACACATGAACATAATGATAATGACAGCAATTAACAATAATGATGATAAGCATGGAAATGACAATAATCCAATTTGACTCTATTCAGCAGAAAACCAGAACATCATGGTTTATTGTTGTCCTATTACAGAGGGTATACAAAATGATCAGTTCCCCATTTTACTCTTCTTTACTGGATAAGTAAAAAAATGACAAGTAATACAACAAATAGTATAGGTCCTCTATGGGGCTTTAAAGTTGGAGGGTCTATTAAATGGCACCAATAGACTTTATTCAGCAAATATACTTTGCACTGCACTTGTTAGTGTTAAAGATATTACTTGTGCTGTCTTTATTTACATACAGGTGCTCAGCCAAAACAATGAATTTGAAGTTGTGAAAGATGGAGATCAAAACACAATAATTGTTGGTTCATTATAACTGAAATTAATTTAGAAGTGCATGTTAAAAAGGTATGTTGATGAAAACAGCAAATCTTAAATCACAAGGACTTGATTATTATAGACCAATGTCATGAGAATGTCGTGATTTCTACATATTCAGGGCCTGTACTCTGCCTTTTTAAAGCCCTGTTCAATATTCTATATTACACATTATCATTATCATGTAGTTTAATCAGCTTTATTTTAAACGTCCTTCTCCATTTGAAGTTCTACACAC